TTACTAAAAACAACTCTTCAACTAAATACAAATCTCAATCTCAAAAACTTGAAAAAAAATAATTGTAATTCACTGATAGTTCTAACAATAATCTACTCTTTTTTATAAAATATAAAATAATATTTATGTAAAAAAAAAAAAACCCACAAAAATCCCAATTACCTCTGCAGTGGGGAAGTTGATGTTGCGGGACCAATAAATAAGTTGGATTTCAACCTACAAAAAACGAAATTGTGGCATTGTAAACCCAAATTTATGTAAAAAAAAAAAAACCCACAAAAATCCCAATTACCTCTGCAGTGGGGAAGTTGATGTTGCGGGACCAATAAATAAGCTGGATTTCAACCTACAAAAAACGAAATTGTGGCATTGTAAACCCAAATCCAAGCAAAAAACAAGTAAAACCAAAAAAAAAAAAAAAAAAAAAAAACTGTGCTGCAACTTCCAGCAAAACCTCCTCCACGTGGTGTGGTTGCTTAGAGACGCTGGAGGCTGGACCAACAGGCAAGGATCAACAAGGAACAATGCAATGTGCCGACTGTAAATTAATCCAAGGAAAATAAATGCAAAAATAAATCAATCAATTGACCGAGAGAGGGGTGAACTCACCGGCACCGGCACGGAGCGGAGAACAAGGGGCGCTACGGAAGAACAGCGACAGCAAGCTTCACCGGAGAAGGAACTAGATCTACCGTCGCAGAGGGAAATTAAAAGCAGAAATGGGGAAGAAAGGTGAGGTGGGGGTGATATGAACCAGTATATTCGACAGTTAAAACTGCCGAATATATAGAGGAAACGATGTCGTTACCTAGCATACTAGGCCGATTATGTTGCAATACATATTCGGCAGAAAATTTCTGACGAATAAACACATTTGTCATAAATTTTCTGCCGAATATGTTTATATATTTGACAAAAAAGTTGCCGAATATGAAGACTGTCAATTAAGCAACAAGTTTCCGTTATCATCGTCAATTTTACATCTTCATCAATCTTTCTGTCGGTTATGCTCACATTTTCGGCAGAAATATGGTTGTCGAATATAATCTTGTCGCATATGCCGCGTTTTCTAGTAGTGTTAGTTACACAGCAATGATACGTGGAATTGTTATTACATGCATCAAAATTGCATATGCACAGGGCATCACCCTGCGAGGTGCCTAAACAAGTCAATCCTTAATTAACTAACAAGGTCCTTGCTTATTAATTAGAGTTTTAATTGTCGCCTTGTTGATATGGTATTCATACTAAAAACGTTAATTTGATGCAGTGAAAAGTTGAGGAAAATTACAACAGTTAAAACTGAGTGTTTGTACTAGAATGTTGTGAAACGAATCAATACTATAATAAGAGTGTATAATTTCACGTAACTTACGTAAAAGAAAGGTTTTTTCTAATTTGTGCTAAGTTAAGAATTTTGAAAAACAAAAAATAATATTTAATTTATCAATTATTTAATTAAATTTATTTTTATGATATTGATTTTAAAATTAATATTTATTTTTATTTTTTTTTATATAAACTTATTAAAAAATATCTTTAATTTATACTTTTAAGATACATATTAAAAAAATTTATTAAATAAGCATAAGAATGCTTATAAAAAAATAGATAAATAATTTTATAGATATTTTTTGTATTTTTATTTTTTTGAAAATCCACCAGAAAAATACTTTTCATTCTATTATACTTCGTTTAAACAAAACAAAGTTTTAGACGGTACCAAAAATAAAAACATTATTATAACACTGCTAAAATCAATTGGAATAAATTCTATTTATTGTTAACTTGTCTTTGAAATTAAGGGAAAACTCAACTACATACTACGAATGCGAATGAATCCAAACAAAAGGCATACGAAACAGAACCAACAACGTAATCAAAGAAAACAACTCCATAGACTAGCTTTATGCAAAGTAAACCAAGCTTGACTGACGACGATAGAACAAAACCCATTAAACCAGCTTTTATGATGAACAGAGGAGCTCATAACCAGAACCTTTAAAAGAGAAAAGAGAGGGAATCATGGGACGGATCAATGACCGAGTACTATCATGTCAACGCCGAAGGGAGAGGAGATCCTGACGTTGTTAACGATCTTGTAAGTGTCATCGAAGTCATCTTCCTCGACGTGCTCCTCCTCGTTGCACCGTTGGTTCTCCTCACCGTGAGTGTTGGTACAGGGCTCAGCGTTGGGGTTGGCGTCGCCCATTTTGATCAAGAGCGCGCAGACGAGTAGTGCCATCAAGAAGACAACCACGGAACCTCTGGAGATGGCCATTGCTGTTAGTTTCTCTGAATTCTGAGTAAGATCGGAAATTGGTGTTCCGGAGGAACTGGAAAGCAGAGGAAGGATGGGAATACGCAGAGAAAAGCAGAGTGGGTGAGATTTAAAGAGGTTTGGATTGAGAATCGGGAGTTTGTTTTCAGTAGAGAGCTGGTCATCGGGAAACTAATTTTCAGACTTGGAAATGTCAAAGCAGACACGTGGTCTTGGAATGCTCATGGCTTTTTTGTTTGCGGTAAAACTACATGGATGCCCATGAAACTCTTGAGTAAAGTTCAAATTGGTTCTCGTCCTTTTAATTATTATAATTAGGTCCTAACATCTTTAAAATGAGCCAATATATCTCACATCAATTCCCACACCCCAGTCTAGTGGCTGAGACCCTTGATTAGGTGGGGATTACCTTTCGTGGGTTATGTGTTCAAGCCCATGGATAACATTTCTCCCTCTTCAAATTGTCCTTATTTAAAAAAAATTATATACGTATATATTTATATCTCACATTATTTATTGATTATTTGCTATACAACAGATATTGTGTTAATAGGAAAAATTATGAAAACTGCGACAATAATTATAATATTCAAGAGGGAGAAAAAAAGAGAGGAAAGAAACAAGGTCAAAAAGAGCTAGATTTTCTTTACTAAAAAAAAAAAAAAAAACCCAGCTCCTAATACCCAAGTTTTGGGGATTTGTGTTCAAAAAAAAAAAAGTTTTGGGGATTGGTTTATTGATAAGTTCATTTGGTAGTGAAAATACCCTAAACAAATTTAAGTTATATGGTTATAATACTTAAATAAGAGAGAAGAAATTAATGCAACATGCTTCCCTTGATCCAAAAAACTTGTTCAATCTTCATAGTGAATTCAATCCTTCAAAAAACACATTAGTAACACAACCAATTCAATAACTAAATTGAATAATTGTCAACAAATATCATAAGTCACCCTAATATTGCTATTGGGTTTAGGAGGGCATAACATAAGAGAAAATTATACAAATTTAATATTTTCTTCTTTCAACCCATTTATGATCCTTATGAATCCATTGATAGTTAAGGGGGGGTTTATGGTCAGTAAACCAACAACATGCACCTTTTGGACGGTAGATTTGACCACCGTGCCATCCAAGAACCCAAGTGTAGAATTCCTCTAATGTTCCTCTAATGGTGATCCACATGTACGTTCGAGGATTCTAAGAAGACTGAAACTCTAAAGGTGTTAGCAATAAAAAAATCAATTTGTTTTCCTTCAAGTTTTTGGTAAAATAATTTTAGTGGCCTAAAATTCTATAATGAACGAAATCCTTCATCATCATCAAGGATTTAGGGTTTTCTACATCTATTTATATTAACAAGAAATAGAAGACTTGTAATTCTAATCTAGTTAACATTGTTAAACTTAGTTTTCAAGTCAAACTAGAAAACCTAGAAGGAGAAGACTTCCTTCCCTTCATTTTTCCCTTTCGTGCCATACATCTCAGTCTATTGTGGATTAGGATTTTGGGCTAGGGCTCCAACCGGACCAACCCCATTGAGCCACTAAAGCCCTAAGCCTAATGAGCTAAGGTTTCAACCCACAAGTCTTCTAAGGAATTCAATGCCAATTTGGATTTTTCTTATCCTTAACTTAAAACAAATCCAAATATAAATTGATTAAACTAAATTAATTCTTTCTACTAATTTATTTTGAATCTTGATTAAATTATTTCTCTTGTGAAAATACTATTTTCACATAAATTAATCTATATCCATAAATTTAGATTTACATAAATCACAATCCCCAAAATGCACTGAGTGTGTGTCCCTCTAGGTATCTATCATGATGGCAATGAGAAACACTCATAGATTAAGGCGGTATCGAGCAACACATCATGGCCACCCACAGTGACAGAAAGACTCGATGATTTCGACAAACCTTTTTATGACCGATACTTGTATAATTTAATCTCTTCGTCATCGACATCTCTATCAAGCAAGATGCTTACTATGTGTTATCATCCTTGAAACTTGATATATCTTTCTTTGATTCCCAAGACAAACATACTTTTTGAATGAGCCTTCATTCATGCCATGGCCATGGATTTCGCAAGTAGTCTTATCTCAATCAAAGGGCCAAAGATATCTTCTTTCATAAACTCAAGAGGGATGAATCTTATCTTAACTTGCTCATTACTCTCATATGATTTGTGATGCTCCTAATAATTGTATTACTTGCAACTTCTCAAAGTGGCTGTTTGTAACAGTATCAAAATTCATAAGTTCTCGCATAAAATAATGATGATCTTAGGTCAAAGATCACTTACACTTGCATCATAGCTGAGAAGCTGCTAATCACCTGTACATGTAGAGTTCTCATGGTAGGTCAGTCTAGTGTGTTCACTTCCTCTGAGTCATCTACATGTGATATGTGTGATTTTGTGAGAAAAAGTCTTGCTACCTTGCAAAACATCATATATGATGGTCTTTATATCATTGATGTCCTATCTCAATGCTATCAACCATTGGATAATTTAAGAATGTTGCTATTGCATCATATGGTTCTCACAATAGCAGGGAATACTATTACCTTTTGATGCGAAAGATGTTCTAAAAACTTTATTGATGTTTAATGTATGTAGAAAAGTAATAGTTAATATTTAATAAATAATGCTATAAACATAATAAGCATAATCACAAGTACATAAGATTGTCTTGCTAACCTAGTTAACTCATAATGCATACTTTAAGAAAACCAATAGGTTTGTAATCACTCATTGTCTTTGGCTCACTACACTTCGGGATTAGAACAATATTTGTGATATTGAGCTTGTAATATCCCAAATTTTCGGGAATATTTAAGTAAGTTAGGGACTAAATTGTGAGAAAATATTGTTTTAGGCTTAATAGCCAACATTCTAAAAGCTGAGGGACTTAAAAGTGGAAGAGTTTTGGATAAGGATCAACTTCTTTCCTTTTTCTTTTTTCTTTCTTTCTTTTCTTCCCAGCCTTGCCCGATTCTACTCTTCTTCTTCTTTCTTCCCGCTGCAGCCACTCGAAAGAAAAAAAAGGGGAACCCAGCCATGCCTTGGAAAATTGGTAAGGAAGCTTGGTATTTTCCCCTTCCTTTCTTGTTCTAGAACCCATAAAGAACCCAGAAATTTCCCCTCCCTCTCTGCAGAAACCGGATTTGCTCTGCTTTGCTCTATCCGCCGGCTGCTCCTGCTTTGTGGGGGCGAATTTCTCTGATTTTGGGTAAGAAATAACCATGAATCTCCCTTCTCTTGCTTGAATTGGCTTGGGTTAACTTTGATTGCTCTTATTTCCTTCAATTTTGGGTAAACCCGTGAGTTTCTCCCCTGCACTGCAGTCGGCTTCTCTCCCCCTGCACTGCCGTCGGCTTCTCTCCCCCTGCAGCTCCGGTTTCTACAGCTGGAGAATTATGGTATGTGGCAGCTTCTCTAAGTGCAAGTTTAGCCATTTAATTGCTGCCCTTTGTGTCTGAAATTCTGGTTTAATTAGGGGAGGAAATTGATAGTAATTAGACCATGATTTAGCTTGATTCAAGTGGAATTTATATGATTGAGTGTTAATGGACTGCTATGTGATTTTTGGAAGAAAATCCCGTGAGATTAGTTAGTGTTTTGGCCAATTTGTGGGAGTGGAGTTACTGTTCATGTCGGGGTCACTGTTCACCGGTTACTATTCACACCCCGAGGGCCAACAATTAACGGGGATTTAAGTGATTAGTTTGTGATATGAGAACGAATTTGGAGATGTCCGATCATGTGGAAAATGATAGAAATAGCATTGTGATTAGGAATGATCCTAATGATGATTTCAGCTTGAATTTGTGATAGTATGGTATTGATTCTCGGATTTTTGATTAGGTTCCCGATCGTTCTGTCAGTTAGTACGTGAATTGAGTGCTCGGTTTTATGCAAGTGAGGTAAGTAAATTTAGGGTAATGCCCGTATAGTTTTAAAAGCATGTTTTGATTTGTTTTTGAAGTGGTGGCGGGACTAAACCCGTTTTACACAAGTATGACTGATTTGAAGTTCTGAATTTTTATGCTTTTCATGAAATTGAGCATGCCTACTTGGAATTTAATTGATTGTCCTGATGATTTGAAAGTGATTAGTGAATTATGAATTTTCTGTTAACTTCTGCCTGTTTTGTCTCCGATACGGTCATGTTATCCTGTTGCCCGCTAGTGGGAGGTTAAACGCTAGCACATGTCGACATGTTCCTGATAGACCGGTTCATTTCTGTAACCCTGCTAGTGGGAGTTAAACACTAGCAATTCCTGTTGCCTGCCAGTGGGAGGTTTAAACACTGGCCATGACCTATAGAGGAGACGTCTATTTCGTGCCCGTACTGTATCTGTTTTCGTGATTGTTCTTGTTGGCATGCTTTAAGTTTGATAAGGGGCACTCCATATTTACTTACTGAGTTTATCTCATAGTTTTCCTTGTCCACCATTTTAGGAAGTGAAACTTAGGACGGGGAAACCACGGGAAGTGACAAGTTAGAAAGCTAGCCATTTCGAGTTTGATATAGATTGTCAATAGAAATCATGATCTTGTAAGCTAGAGTGTACTTGGAGATTTTATGATATCAGAGTAAATTTTAGGTTAAACCCCTATTTTGGTCCCTGAACTATTGTACGGACCCTCGATTTGGTCCCTAAACTAAAGAAATCCCTAATTTGGTCCTTGAACTATTGTACGAACCCCTGAGTTGGTCCCTAAACTATTGTACGGACTCCCAAGTTAGTCCCTAAACTATTGTACGGTGCCCAATTTGGTCCCTACTGTTTACCAATTTAACCCCAACTTGGTCCTTCTGTTAAATAATAGCTCAGGGACCAAATTGGGGCGAAATTGTAAACAGTAAGGACCAAATTGGGGCGAAATTGTAAACAGTAAGGACCAAATTGGGGGTCCGTACAATAGTTCAAGGACCAACTTAGGGCAAATTATAAACAGTGGGGACCAAATCGGGGGTCCGTACAATAGTTTAAGGACCAAATCAGGGATTTCTTTAGTTCAGGGACCAAATCGGGGGTCCGTACAATAGTTTAAGGACCAAATCAGGGATTTCTTTAGTTCAGGGACCAAATCGGGGGTCCGTACAATAGTTCAGGGACCAAAATGGGGATTTAACCTAAATTTTAAAGATTTGATCTTCAGATTTTGATGGTATCAGAGTGTGATATGATAAGTTCCAAGCCTTGTGCATTTGTGGGACCCGTCTCACGAGTGCACGACGTTTGTCGCATCCCTGGATTTGGGTTCTGGGGCATGACAGAGCTATTGTGGAAAAGCCACCCCATGATTCAAGGACTATAAACATGGTTGGACAATATCATCCTTCATTATGCTTCAAAACTGTTGGAAGAAAATTGGTGAAAGCAATTTCGACTTGGTGCTTTTGAAGGGTGCATATAGAATAAAGCTTTTGTGATCTCTCTTTTTATGAATAACAAGGCATTACCCTTGTCATCCACACATGATCATAAATAACTAGTGACTGCTTCAATTTTTGATGGTTATGAAGATGTTAAGAGTTGGGTAAAATACACTACAACAATACACTACAAATTCTTGAATTAGTTGTTCGTCCCCTATTTTCATCCAACAACTTTGCCACCTTATTTCAATCTCTTTATTTGGATGTTCTATTATGAAAAAAGCCATATGTTCATATCCTTTTTCTAGATCCAAATCTCCCATGATCACTGCCTCTAGGTAAGCTCTTCCCTTTTTAACCACTCCTTTGTTTCATTCAATATATCCTTTGTCGTAAAAGTAGTCTACTTAGAGTTTGCTCAATGTCTTAATGAAGCATTGCCTTATAAACCACTGAACATGACCAAATTGTTGAGGTTCCATATCTTAAAACCTTTCAAGCATACATGTGTCTTCTGTAGTAACAGTTCTAGTCATTTTCTCCTCTAATTGATTGCCATCTAGCACTAACTACTTCTTGACAACCAGTATGCCATAGCCATATTTCCTTAAAGTGGAATTTTTTCTTATGAGTATTTCTTCAGTCTTTATGTCCATCATTAGTGATTCATAAAGGATTATGGTCTGAGGCTAGTAGTGGTAAAAAACAAACTTTAGCATAAGAGAAGAAATGTTTCTAGTCGATAAAGGTGAGCTCTTTTCCTTTCTAATTTTTCAAAATTCTCCTTTTTCACAAAATAAAAGAGCCATTAATCATCTAAGCTTCTATCAAGTCACAAGCTACAATAGCTTCATTAAAACCTTGGAGCATCCAACTTGGCTGGGTACTCCTTTCCAACTTTATCCTTGGGGCTCAAAAGGTCATTAAAATCACCACAAATCGATTAAGGTAGGGTGAATCATCTAGCTAAGTCTCATAATAGAGCCCACGATCATCATTTATTATGCCTTTTAGGATGTCCACAGTATCTAGTAAACCTCCACTTGTACTTCAATATTCCTTTGACATCCATATCTATATGATTCATAAAGTAAGACAATAGAGAAAATACCACACCATTGTTCCAAAGCATAGCAAGACTTTCAGTACGACTTATCTTTTCCACTGTAAAATAATGTTAGGATCCTAATCTCTTATGAATCCTCTCTATCCCCTTTTTATCTAGTAACATCTCACAGAGAAACACCACCATAGGCTTTGCAAACCCTACCATCTCAATAAGGCTATGAATTGCTCAAGGGTTTCTAAACCCCCCACAGTTTTAACAAAAAAAGACTAATGGTGACTGACAGGCCTACATAACAACACTTGCTGATAAAGTAATTGTATTTTTGTCATCTCCAAAAACTTTCCCTTGCTTCTCACAAGCAAACTGCTCATTGTTGACTTGTTCTAGTTGCTGGTCCTTTCTTTTAGCTCTATGAATAGATTTCTTATGATGAGTTTATGTTAGCCTATGCTTATAGGCCTCACACTTATGGGCTATATTCCTTGAGATAGGATTACTTAGGCCCAATGTCAAAAGGAAAATAGAGCTTGCCTTGATTTGCTGGGTTGTTAAAGTTGTAATATGTTGTATATAGGCTTACAATACTAGGTCTTCAAATATATTATCATTCTACACAACATTGTCAAACTCCTTCATTATCTCCTTTTTGTGCCATAATCATGATTAACATCATCACCCATATTCAAATCAAAACTTCCTTTTTACTCTCATGCCCTAGAGTATTAATTATAGTCAAGTACACATGCTTGTTTGTACCTTCAATCCTTAATCCTCGGTGATTATTCCTTATTTCAAGATTAGTAGTATCCTTAATTGAGATCAGACTTTGATTACTTTCCTTAAAGGAATCATCAATCAATCCTTAAGCATCCCTCTAATCACTTTTATCATAATTAGTGAAAAGGTCATTTACTTCCTTGATTTGCACTCATTCCAAACTAGAACCAAAATGTCTTGACCCTGTTTCCTCCACTAGCTTGTTAGAAAGCATCTTTAAGCCATTGCCCTCGACTAGCCTTCTTCATTTTTTGTAAGTGTCTTAATGATGCTTGTAATTTCTCACCATAGGGTGCTCTTTCACCTTTATTTTCTTTATTTTAAGAACAAGCTCATAGTCTTCAACAGAATTTAACATACAACAACAATAACAAAAATTTGGTAGCCACTTGTAGCGAAAATCAACCCAAATTGGACTTTCTCTAAAAGAGAGTTTCATCTTGTGCCTAAGTGGCTCCCTAACATCAATGGTTACTCTAACACGAATATACTCCACACCTTATGATCTCCTCCATCATTAATGTCAAGGAAATGCCCTAGCTTGTCTCCTATGTCTTTTCTCATCTCCTTTTATGCCCCAAAATTGAGAGCAAAACAGACACTGTGCATTTGTGGGTACACTTGTGAGAGGATCCCACAATTGTATAAGGCTCGAAACTTACTTAATTCATATCTAGGAGTCCACTAACTAAGATCCAAATGTAGAGATAAAAATTTGGCTTTCAAAGGAATAATTTAAATCCCAAAATCTATATCTAAAAATAATTCGTCTAGCAAACCTAATTACAAAATAATGTAAGTGCAAATATATGAGGCTAAGCTTTTAGCTCATCACTTCCCTTGGTTTTTTAGTTTTTGATCTCGCTACTTGAAATGGTGGACGAGGAAAAATTATGTGAGATAACTTAGTAAGTAAAAAAATGAATAGCCATTATTTAAAGTCAAACTATACCAAATAAACAATTTAAACATAAACCGGAAGAAATATTTTAGTGATAAACCATTAATGCATAATAAAATTCAGTAGTGTTCTCCTCAATAGCTCATGGCCAATGTTTAACAAACTTTCACTAGCAGGCATCCAGTAATAACCAGTGTACTATCCCACTAGCAGGAATACAAGATAAACTGATCCTACAAGTATACATGTCGACATGTGCCATGGTTTATAAACTCCCACTAGCGTGCTTCAGTAATCATGACTATATTGGAGACAAAACCATGCAAGAGTTCAATAGGAAAATCCATAGCTTACAAACCAATTTTAGATTTCCAAAACAAACAAGTAAACTCCATGTAAGCATGCTCAGCTCAATAAAAATAATAGCAACTTCATTTCAAATCAGTCATGCTCATGTACTAACAAAAAAAAAGAAAACAGTTTAGGTCCTGCCACCATCTCAAAAATAGTTTAAAATATGCTTTTAAAACCTTTACCTTAAATCCAAGGGCAATTACCATAGATTTACTTACCTCGCCTTATAGGTAAATAACAAGCAAGAATTCAGCATCTTCAACATCTCAAGGTGGTGAAGTTGATTTAGAACCTATGTCACATCAAATAAATACTTAGAATAGGCTTAAAACTGCTCCAAATGTCACACTAAATAGTGGGTATTCCAAATAGATTTATAAGATGGAAAAATGTGAGAAACCAAGGTCAAAACCATCCTAGACACCAACAGAAATATTGGACAGTAAAGTGGGGGTTTCTGTCATTTAAAGCAATCCCAAAATGTCTAGAAAAACACCCTGAATAGCAGGGATTTCTAGGCAGAAAGATAGTAGCAAAACAAGATAGAATACGAGCCAAAATTGGGCAGAAATGGACAACATTTAAAAAGGACAACTTTAGCAAAAAGGCAGCTAAAATAAAGCAATAATAAAGGGTTTTAGAGCATGAAAACAATAGCTAAAAGTCTACTAAAACCGTAATGCGATATAACTAGCAAATAATGTGGGAATTGAGCAGAAAACATAACAAATTTATGGAAAAGTTTTGGTTAGATTTTGAACTAGAAGTTTCAACAAAATTCATGCCCAGAAATTGAACAATTTGAGTTGAATGGTCAACAGATAAATTGTAACCCTATGTCTTAGTGTTTTATAGGATCAAGAATCACTTTAATCTAATATCTGTAGAGAAAGTTATGGCCAAAATACTAACTTAAAGTTGGGCTCCTAGTTAAGCTCATCAACAAGAATTGAACTTTTAGTAAAGTTTTTACCTTGAAAACAGCTTAACTAGGTTAAATATCCAATAGAAAAGTTGTAGGGCTATCTCTTAACTTTCTATAAAATCAAAAATGGCCTTAATTTGATAACTAAAAAAAGAGAGTTATGGGCAAAATACTACAGCAAGGTCATGCTGTTAGAATTTTTCCAACAAAAAGAGATCAGATTCTACTGGTGCTTGATTATGTACAAAATCAAGGAGGTAACTACAAAAACACTCCCAAAATTGAAAACCCTAAATGATTGAAGCTAACCCACTTCAAATCAAAGATGAAAAAACGAGCATGTGATTGATTTCTTACTAGAAAGTGCTAGAAATTAGTGGCCTCCCTTGCACTGTATAGAACTCGACACAGACTAGAAGATTGGAAGGATACCAGTAGCAAGATCTGGGTTTTAATCATAATTTTGAGAACCATAAGCCTATTAATCTCTATATTTTGCTAGGAAAAGGAAGAAAAAGCTTAGTCACACTTATTTTTTTGGGCGAATAGAGGCTAGGCACAAGCTAGGGATTGGGGTAGCAAGGATTTTGGTGAGGGGTTGCAGATTCATGAAATAAGTAAGGAGAGAAAGAAGAGAATCAGGTCAGCCCCTTTTTATAGCTAGATTTCACTTTTAACCCCCTTAGATTTGTATATTTTAGTCATTAGACCCAACAATAATAACTCTTCCCATATAAATCCCTAACTTAAATTTAAATTCACTTGTACTGATGTATTCATTTATACATATATACGTCTAAAATTTCAGAAATTTTGAGATATTACATCCCTGTCATCAAACAAACTAGTGGTAGACCATGAATTTGGATCTAAAAAGGAACTTCATATAGATCATCTTTTGTCATTGTTTTCCCCCTTGTGCCTTTTTTAAAATCATGACATGGTTCACCAAATGCGAAGGACAATAACTAACACCCTTTACATGTTGATCAGGTGGAAGAAGAAGAAAGTAAAAAGATTCTTGCCAACTACCCTAATGTGCACTCCTTTAGCTAATCTCCA